CATCGGCACCGCCGTGGGCCCCGGCATGCTCGGGCTCCCCTCGGCCACCATCAAATCCGGCCCACTACCTTCCACCGTTGCCATTGCCCTCTCATGGGTCTATGTGGTCTCCTCCATTGTTCTAGTCGCAGAGCTAACCTTTGCCACCATGAGAGAGTCCAATGCGCAGGAGGTCAGCTTCACTTCGCTAGCTACCAACGCGTTTGGTCCCAATTTTGGCGCTTTTGTCGCTTTGGTCTATGCTTGCCTCAGTTTCTCTTTGATGATTGCTTGCGTCTCTGGCATTGGTTCTCTTATAATTCAGCAACTTCCTTTGATCAATCCAGTCGCAGCTCATTCTGTAGTACCTGTTTCAGTTGCTATCACAATTGGGTTTTTCCCTTTTAAGGCTATTGATGTAACTAATAGACTGCTTTGCTCTCTAATGCTCTTATCTATCACAGCATTGGTCGTAATTGGTTTGTCTACTGGGAGAAGCAATCTGATGAGCTCTCTATCTTTTGCTTCTTGGAGACTTGGTTCAATTTTGCCCGCGATTCCTGTGACTGTACTTACATTGGGATTCCACGTTGTAACTCCATTTGTTTGCAAAATTGTTGGCGATTCGGTGTATGATGCTCGAAAAGCTATACTTTTGGGGGGTTCGGTTCCTTTGTTGATGGTGGTTTCTTGGAATGCAGTTGTTTTAGGACTTGCAGGGGGTTATGGAGAAAACTTTGTGCAGCCTATTGAGTTGTTGTTATCTGTGAGTTCATCGGCTCTGCCTGCTGTTAAAGGTTTTGCCTTTGCTGCATTGGCTACTAGTTTGATTGGTTATGCTGTTAGTTTCCCTAAACAGCTGGTTGATACTCTGAGATTGATTGGAGATAGACTTATGAGAAATTCAGATGTAGAGGTTCTAATCGGATTGGTGTTCTTGCAACGTGGATTGTACTTATTGTTCCTATTTTTATTGCGTCTTTCTTCCCGGCTGCTTTCTCTAAAGCTCTAGATTTTGCTGGACTTTATGCAAATTGCTTTCTGTTTGGGATTTTGCCACCCGCAATGGCTTGGATTCATCGGTCCAGAAAGAAACTTGGGTAAGATCTCTTACCAATTTGTTCATTTATGTTACGTTTGCCTGTTCATGTTATTGTGTTTGTATTTGGATATGCTCATCTGTCAACTATGAACTATTTACCTAAACTCAAATGTCCGAGATTAGTTTCTGAACTTCGTCATGATTAGAGTAAATGATCATGTACTTCCCTTAAAAATAAGAACTTACCCAAGTTAGATCATTTTTATTGTAATCAAGGTAGATCGTGTTGCTGTTTCCTCATTCTGCAATTACTGCAGACCATTTAGAATACAGGCATATTTGTATTGTCCATGCCGTTGGATGTCTTCTTATGCTTTTGGTAAAATATGAAGCAAAGCACTATGGAAAATATCATCAAATAATTTCCATGAAGATCATCAAATAAGTTACATGAAGATCATCAAATAGTTTCACCAAATTATGGAATGGAATTCATTTTAACTCATCCTTGAGTTGTATTCATACTGGGATTTTCCCACGCAGGTCATCTACACAAAGGGAAGATTTACTTCCTGGTGGAGGTTTAGCCCTTGCAGTATTATTCATCATTTCTGTTATACTGGGGATTTGGCATTAAAGAGGGAGTGCTGAAATTGGATCACGTCATTTATTTAACTGCTCAAATTATGTACTTCTAAGAAAAAAGTGGAGCTGCTCATTATTTTCTGAAGCACTTCATGTTTAGTAAGTAACACTGAACTTTCTTGTTCTCTTATATTTTTAACTTGTTCCTTGTTCATAGATATACATAAAATCTTTAGTTGGACTATGTTCTGGTAAGTTAATGGTGACTGTTGTGAGATATGACAATAGAACTTCCCTGTGGCTTTAAAAAACACATAAATTATTGCTAAAACATTGTATACATGTTTCTTATTAGACTTAAAAAGAACGATACAACAATCTCGGTATGGTGAATAGTTTTGTGAATGGAGATCAGTGACATATGGAAGAAGAATTATTTGAGGCTACCATGTTATTGAGACAGATGGAATACATTTAAGAGGTTGATCTAGCCTTTCCCTCTAATTCATGGATGACTGATTGATTTATCGTAATATTTACAACGAAAGTTTAAAACTAGATCCCCCCCTCTTTCCTTGGACAAACGTGATCAAACCTGCTGGGAAAAAGAGATATAATCATGACTGCAGAATATTATAGGCTTCCTACTATAAAAGCTATGTTTTGAATGAATCATGGTCATGCAAGAATACCAAGTAAACAATGTGCTAATTACCAACGGACGGATATATACTTTTTGATGCGGGACGGAGAAGCATCGGAACCCTCTGGTGAACAATATTTTTTCTTTTCTTTTTTTTTATTTTTTTATAAAACAAAAGACGAACAAAGTAAGATAAAATGTGATTGGATCGGATTCACTCACAGACATCTAACTGTTGGTTAAGTCGGATTCACACGCTGACACTTAACCTTTTCGACTTCACACTGAGAAATAATGGCTCTGTTTTAGAAAAATCACATAAGATTATCTTCAACTCAATTTTCATAAATTCTTCATAAACTCTCTACCACATTAGAGAAATCTCCTACCTCTTTTATAGAGTTTGGAATTCTTATCTAAAACAAATTCAAACACTTATCCTATCTCTAAAACCAACTCAATCTTAACTAGAAAATAATCCAACAAACTCAATCCTGACATAATTCAAATCAAAACAACTAAACAAAATAATTAATTCTCTCCTATCTAAAATCAAAACCAAATCTAAAATCATAACAAATCTATCTTCAATACAGATCAAATCTGAATATTGATTATGTCCTGCATCAGTTCTCCCATTGCTGGAGAAAACTCGACTCGAGTTTTAAATAAGGATAATATGATAAACTCTACAGCTTTTATGTATTCTGATTCAATAGTCTCTAAAGTATTCAATAATATTTGTAGAACTTGATAACGGGTCGGTGGAGGAGTATCTGATATAACAAAGTC